TTCCTAAAGCCGGGCTTCCTTGTAAATGGTGACTGGGTTCCAGAGTGAGTATCCTAAAAGATGGAAAATAGAAGGTGCCAGTTCTTTAAGGCCTGGGCCCAGAGAATGGCACAGTGTCACTTCTATAATGTTCTATTAGCCAGTCTATCCCAGAGCTCAGATTTAAGGGAAGGATACATAGACCCTTAACGCTCCATTGCAGGCATAAAAAAAAAAAAAAAAAAAAAAACTGCCACACCCAGAATGTCCTCCCTTGTTTGGTGAAGGAATTAAGAAAACCCAGCCCTGCCCTGGCCCGCTGTTCTGTAGTGAGTTGGCTATATGTACACAAAAAAGAAACACAAGAGCCGGGGGTATAGCCTAGAGGTAGAATGAGACCCCAGGTTTGATCCCCAGCAACACACACACACACACACACAAATAGTGCCAGAGGTCATGGCCCATGTCTGTAAGCCCAGCTGCTTGGAAGATTGAGGCAGGAGGATTATAAGTTTGAGGTCAGGGATGGCAAGTTCAAGGCCAGCCTCAGCAACTTAGACCTTGTTTCATAGGTAGGTAGATAGATAGATAAAAGGATGGAGATGTAGCTCAGTGGTAGAGGTACTTGACTACAAAGCAGGAGGCCCTGAGTTCAATCCTCAGTACTGCAAACATAAATGAATTAATTAAAAAATAGAAAAGAAACACAAACCCTATCAGCTTCCAATGCTACCTGTTCATGAAGGGCTTAGCAGAGAAAGTATATCAAGCTGGGGATTATGGCTCAGTGGTAGAGTGCTTGCCCATCATATATGAGGCCCTGGGTTTTATCCCCATCACTGCCAAGAAAGGGAGTGAGGGAAGAGAGAGACAGAATATGAATGTACATCACCAGAGCAAGGGAAGGGCCTAGAACTGTCAGGGATGTGTTCTGGTGCCCACCATGTGCCAGGCATGATGGAAACAAAGATAACAAACCCTTAGGCAGTGGTTTCACAGGGCAATGCAGGACTAAAGGGAAGAAAGTGAAGAAACATCATCACCTTGATGTAACAGGTGCCACAGCTGAGAGATGCCCTGAGAAGTGACACTCTACTGTGCCCCAGGAGCTGAGACAGCTTGCAGAAGTGATGTCTGAACCATATCAGAAAGGTACCCCAGGTGGAGGGACAAGCCTGGGCAAAGACAGACAAAAGGAAACAAAGTATTTGGGCAAATGATTCAGTATGGCTTCGGGGATGGGATGGGTGAGCAGTGCTGATAGGGAAAGTTCCAGAGACATGAGGGAGCCAGAGTCAATGGAGTGTTACTACAAAGGCAGATCACTTGATTGCTGATAAGAAGTGAGTTTGTGGGCATTCAAGGAAGGAGGAGGAAGAGGATGTGCATAATACAGTTGGCACTGACATTAAACTTGAGAGCAATCACAAGTGGGCAGTAGGGTCAGGGAGGAAGGAGATAGAGGGATGGAGGGAATGGGAGTGGAGATTCCAGTTAGATCTCCATGATAGAGCTATGTTTGCATAGCTCTGGGCTGAAGAGCAGATGAAACAAGTGGGAGCTGCAGATGGAAATCTTTGACCACCATGGTAAACAGAGACCAAGTCTATATTCTGTAGGCAAGAAAGAAGTAGGAAGTACAGGGATTATAGTGGTAATACTTAATGAGTATCCATAATATGTCAAGCCCAGTCCCAATCATTTTATGTAAATTTGGATGTCATGACAATCCTATAAGTACTACTGCATTTCATTGAATATAAGATATTATCAATTGTAATACATAACATTTTTTATGTATTGCTAAGATAAAATACATATCTTTTAAGTCATGGCATGACTTCAGTTTAAGATGAATTCTGATTTCAGAGATGTTAAAAATGTAAAGAGGAAAAGAAAAAGGCCATGGAATCCAAGAAATACATAATCTGCATTTAAAAGATGAAGAGGGAGCTCTGAGGTTGTGGCTCAGTGGAGCCAGTAGTAGGAGCCAGCACTCAGGTTGGTGCTCAGTAGAGCATCTAGCATGTGTGAGGCACTGGGTTCAATCCTTAGCAGCACCTAAAAAAAAGTATTGTGTCTATCTACAACTAACTAAATAAATAAATAAATAAAATTCTTTAAAAAAAAAAGATGAGGAAGGGTTGGGCTGGGCATCATGGCGCTTGTCTATAATTCCATCTACTCCAGAGGCTAAGGCAAGAGGATCACAAGTTCAAGGCCAGTCTCAGAAATTTAGAGAGGACCCTAGCAACTTAGCGAGACCCTGTCTCAAAAAATTAAAAGTTCTTGGGGATGTAGCTCAATGGCAAAGCCCCCTGGGTTCAATCCTCAGGACAAAAAAAAAAAAAAAAGAGGAGGGTGGTGGGTGTGTGTGCTCAGTGGTAGGACACTTGCCTAGCATGTGCTAAGCCCTGGGTTCTGTCTCCAGAATTGCAAACACACACAAACACACACACACACACACACACACACACACACTGGGGACAATGGACAATGAAGTAGCTCAATGGTAGAGTGCTTATCTTGCAAGGCCCTGGGTTCAATTCCTAGTGCTACTAAATAAAGAAATTTAAAATATAAGGAGGAAACAGGCACAGAGGTGTTAAATAATTTGCCCAAAGTGCAGTTAGAGAGCCATGATTTGAAATCAGGCAGCCCAATTGCAAAACCCCAAAACCCACTTTTTTTTTTTTTTTTTGGTACTGGGGATTGAACACAGGAGCCCTTAACCCCTGAGCCACATTCCCAGTCCTTTTTATTTTTTAAATTTTGAGACAGTCTCTCTAAGTTACTTAGGGTCTCCTTAGGTTGCTGGGGCTAGCTCTGAACTCACAATCCTCATCCTCCAGAGCTGCTGAGATTACAGGCAAGCACCACTGTGCCTGGCCAAAACCCAAGTTCTTAACTATTTTGTGATGCTAGACAAGAGGTTGTGAGCAATATGGAGTTTTAGGAAGACCAGTGTGGCCACTGATGTTGACATGGATTGGAAGGGAGCATGAAGAGTCAGATGATGCATCTGGGAGATTGGGGTTCGTTGTGAGAGAGTACAGGATGAGGTGGAGACCATGTACAGTAGGGGACAGAAAGGACAGAGGTTCTTCAAGAATTGGCAGGACTGTTGGGCATGGTGGCACATGGGACTAAGGAGGCTAAGCCAAGAGAATCACAAATTCAAGACCAGCCCCAGCAATTTAGCGAGACTCAACAACTTATTGAGACCCTGTCTCAAAAAAAAAAAAAAAAAAAAAGAGCAGGACTGAAGCCAGGTGCAGTGGCACATGCCTATATCCCAATGACCTGGGAAGATGAGGCAGGAGGACCACAAGTTTCAGGCCATCCTGGGCAACTTACTGATACCTTGTCTCGAAATAAAAATGAAAAGGACTGAGGGTAGCTCAGTGATAGGATTCAATCCCTAGTAACACACACACACACACGCACACACACACACACAGAGGCAGAAATGGACAGTTGATATACTGAATGTTGGGTTTGAAAACAAGGACAGGGGCTTGGGATGTGGCTCAAGTGGTAGCGCGCTCGCCTGCCATGCGTGCGGCCCGGGTTCTATCCTCAGCACCACATACAAACAAAGATGTTGTGTCATTGTGTCCACCGAAAACTAAAAAATTTTAAAAAAAAGTTAAAAAAAAAAAAGAAAACAAGGACAACTCCAAGTGTTGAGCCTGGAAAGCAGACAGTGTAGGAGGGTACAAGGCAACTGCACACACTATTTATCAGATGAATAAGTTGTATAATCTTGGACAAGCTGTATGATCTCTGGATCTCATATTTTCATTTGTAAAACAAAGGAATTGGATTAGAATGTTCTCTTGTGGAAGGGGTAGGAGGTCCTCTCCCCATCCCCAGGGCCTCTATAGGCACCCTTAGGGCAGCAATTCGAACCCTGGCTACAGGTTACACTAACCAAGACCCTATATGAGACCACTTAATTCAGACTCTGGAAGTAAGCCCAAGCATGAGTAGTTTTAAAGCTGTTCAGGTGACTCAGATGTGCAGCTGGTTGAGAATACTTGCGGAAAATCCTCCAAGTACCTGCTTTGAAAACTACTAGGCTAAGTGAGGGTTGGAATCCCTTCCAGTCCTAGTTGCTTAGATTGAGACTTGTGGTTGGTGATAAGCCTCCCCGCCCACCCCGTTCATCTTCCATCTGCTACATCAATAACTCCTCATAGACGACCAATACCAGGATTTCTCGACCATGAACTATTAACGTTTGGACAGTATAATCCATTATTGTGAGAACTTTCCTGTTCATCATAGGCGGTTTAGCAGCATCTCATGTCTCTACCCACTATGCACAAAGAGCATCTCGACTCAATCAAAACAATAAAAAGTATCCAGAGGTTGCTAAATGTCTACTGGGATAGAATCTGAGGAAAGACATTCTACTGAAGGTCTTGGTCCCCTCACTGCCCTCCCCCTTGCAAACAGAGGACAGGCAGAAATGGAGAACATAGTATCACAGGTTTAGTTGGGCCCAGCAGGAGGAAGGTCCTCCCAAGGAGTCCAGGGCTGCTCAACATTAACACAATAGAGGGACAGTGTGCCAGCGGGCTGACTGATGTGGTCTCAACAGAGAGGGAGGGAGTTTTCCAGAACACTCATTCCCGGATTCCCAATCAGTCATAGAAGCGCTCAGAGCAGCTTTGGGGGCAGACAGCCCTGGCTTTCCCGGAACGGGCAGAAGGGGTGTGGGAGTGGTGGTGTGTGTGTAGGGGATTCTTTCCTTCTGTAGATAATTTCCTGGCATGGCCCACTGCCCTGGTCTGATTGGTGGAAAGCTGGAGGGGAGGAACTTTCCAGCTGTGGGTGCCTGGGTTCCTCTGATGTTGGGAATCATCATGGAGATGTTTAGATTGTAGGGTCTGGAACAATGACACTTTTGCACTGGTACTAAGGGGTGGGCTGGTTCTCCACACAGGGATGTGGATGTTGTGGGTACACATATTCCTTAGAACTGCAAGTGGGGAGACTGTAAGCATTTTCACAAGTCACCATTTGCTTGGAGGTGTCTTTGCTTGGAGGTGCCGGGACCTGAAGGAAAACAGAGGATGGTAAGCTTCAAAGAGTCAGGGGAGGGAGCTAGGAGGAAGGAGGGAGGGTAGTGGTGAAGAGGTGGCAGTCTGCCCTAATCCCGTAACTCACTCCACCAGGAGGCTCAGAGCACCCAGAAGCAGGACAGCTCCAAAGACAGAGAACAGCAGAATCCTGGCTTCCCACAGATCGTGACTACCTGCGGGGAACCCAGAAGGCCATGGATGATCCTGGGGATGATGTCCGCGGATGTTGGGGGAGACTATGGGCTTAGGGATGTGGGCTGGGCGCGGCCGAGTTGGGAGTAAAGACCTGGGAGGCACCGCTTTCGGGGCCAACAGGACGCCTCGGTGCCCTCGCAGGTGGAACAGTTGTATAGGATAGTGCTGCCCCCTGCAGGAGACAGAAGGAGCGTGGCTGGCCGGGGAAGCCCTAGCCTCCACCCTTCCTGCTACCCAACTTCCTCCCCAGCTGCCAGGCTCTCCTTGCTAGGCTGTAGGCCTCTCATCCTTGCCCTTTCCATTTCTACTCACGGCAGGCTGGGGCACAAAGAGCTGAAATGAATGACAAGAAGAGGATGGGGGTGGATGAGCCACTCAGCTACATACCCCATTGTCCAAAATCCTAGGCACCCCTTGATGCATGCCCTTCCAGCATCTCACCTTCCCTGGTATACTGGGGGATCTTGGTCTTTTGAAGCCATTGCCAATATGAAGGGAGTGAAGAGATGGATCCTTTGATCTCTGAGGAGGTAGAGAGCAACTCTATTGCCCTGGGTCTCAGGAGTGCCTGTTCACCCCCTCCTCCACATACATTCAGCCCCCTTCCTGGTCAGCCCTCCCTTCTCCACCTGCCCTGTGCCCTTCCCAAACTCCCATCATCCTCCTTGGTGTCCTCCCAAGCCCCTAGGTTTCATTCTTCCCTTTGACCTCACCCATGACCCTCAGGACTCTGTGAGTCTTCTCTGTGACTTTGTTCATGGTCACCTCATCTGTGGAGATGGGCAAGGAATAGTCATTCCTTCACCAGCCAGCCCAGGTTGTTGTGCTGGGCTCTTTCCTGGGATCTGAAGTTTTCCCAGGAGACATCAGTGTGTCCAGTGTGGACTGAGGCAGTGGCTGAGGGTCCCAGCTGAAGTCAAATACTGTCTCCCTTGCACAGGAACTGCTGGTGGTCCTGTCTCTGAAACTCTGGTCTTACCTAAGGCAAAAGCTGAGAAATCTGGGGAAGCCCATTCCTTCCACTCGGCCTTCAGTTGGCTGCTGAGCTGAGCCAGGCGACCAGGCAAGTCATGAGCCGGTAGGCGACAAAATATACAGGCCTGGGCAGCTGCCAAGAAAACTCCACCTACTGCCAGCATCCACATAAGGCCTACCGAGGGACTGGGTTGGAGTTAGTCCTAACTAGGCTAGGAAGGCCTCAGGATGCTTTGTGAACCTGGGAGGTTCTAGAATATTCTAGAACAGTTGGGGGTTCTAAAGTGTTCCAGAACAATGTCATTGCTCCATCCTTGGTTGGTGTAAAGCTGGGGCCTGAGAATTGAGAGACAGCAGAAGACATTTCTAGTAGAAGATAGAGAAAGTAGGGCTTCTGTTGCAAGGGGACAGTGGCCTTTACAAGCCTGTGGTTACAAAAGCTATTTTATTTTTCTTCTTGTAAATCATCCATGATAAACAATGGGTGACTCCCCCACTGAAGAAGTTGTACATGTGTATCCCATCCGCTCAGGGACCCAGAAATCCCATCCCTTCTCATATTCTCCCTCACTTTCTCAAACTCTTCATCTCTTCTCTCTGCCCAGGGCAGCCTTGGGCCTTCCTCAGCTATCTCCTAGCAACAGGCCCATGGTTACCCCACCAACTAAGAGTTCCCTACAGGTTCCAGAGGCCCAGCTAAGTCCAGTGACTTCTTTTACTTCCCCCAGGAAGATCCTTGTGACTCAAACACAATCAGGCTCCTCCTGCCTACGTGGTGACATGGGCACATAAACATAAATGCCTGTACACACACACACACCCTGTGATTAACTAAATCTCAGTTTACTCACACATATACCATGGATAAACTTGTGCCAGAACAGTTGCTAGGCAACCCCAAACAGGCCTGGACATACGAAGATCAGAGAAGGGCCATCACATAGACACCACAGTCAGCAACACTGATGGAACCAGGGTACCAGGAACCCACGTATCAATCAGACACTTGGCTAATATGCACTTACATACAAATGAAGTAAGGTCAGTACATAAAAAGATAACACCCTCCTCCCCTTGGCCAGCTTCATCTACAATATGGGATCCTTTAAAACACTTAGAATTCCAGGGACTGCTCCAGCCCCCTTGCTAATGGGGATTCTCCTAGCTCCCTTATGTCAACCTAGGGTGGGCTGTGATCTTTCTGTTTCCCCCTCTATAGGTGGCTTGAGACACAGCGAAGAATCCCCTTTTCCATGTTCCAGAGCGTTTTGACCTCTCATTGGTCAGGCCAGTCCAAGCCCAGTACCAGGAGGGGAAGCCACAGTCCAGGAGACTACATTAGGACAATCCAAGTATCCCCTTCCCCCTAGACTTCAGTGTTCCTTGGGGGTTTTGTTAGGTCTAACCTGGACATGGAGGTGTTCCCCACTTTTCAGACCCCTGAATATTGAGCTTTAATTAAAGAGACACTATAAGTCTCCAGCCTCAGGCAAAAACAAACCAAGGGAACCTTCACTGCCTCTTTCAGGTAAAGCACCAGTTCACACCCTCTGGACCACTTATGAGTCCTTGGTGGGCTCAGTTGGGAATTCCAGCCCACATCTGGGCTCCAGTCAGATGCACCGGGACCCCTGACTCTCATAGCTCCGACACCAGAGCTAGAAAGAGGCTTCAGGAAGCTTTTATCCCCTTAGCCTGCCCCTCTCACCCTCCTCCCCACCATCCAACTGAGGACAGCATCCTCAGTGCCGGACAAAGCGCAGAGATCTGGAGTTAAGCAGGTCTTCAGGGTCAGGGAAGACCGAGTCAAGGCGGAAACCATGTTCTAGAGCCACCCGCAGCACTTCCTCCAGGAAGCTCGGTGTGCCCACCACCTCCCGACGTTCTCCAGGCCCCCCAGTCCACAGTGGCTGTAACCCCAGTCTGCCATACTCCGTCTCAGGGAGTTCCGCGGGGCGGGGCGCCCACTCCAGACGAAAATGAGGCCCCCCCTCTACTCTGTCCCCATTGGCCACACCAAATCGAGCCCGCATGGCACCCAGACACTCGGGGTCTGTGCAGAAGAGGTTGGCTCGGAAGGTGTCCACCTGGACCGAGCTCAGCTCATAGTGGTGTGGGCCCCGGCGAGCAGAGAAGTGCACCAGGCGCGGGCTGACGTCTACATCTGCGTGGAGCAGGGCAGCTGTGGATGCAGGGGTCCCACGCGAGGCCTCTAGTTCCCGTAGGGCATCCAGAAGGGGCCGGATCTGGTAGAAGTCAGCTTCTGCCTTGAGAAGGGCTGTCTCTCCATACCCACGAGGCAGGTCCAGTCGGCCCAGCCGAAGGAAATTGAGGATGTGGCGGAAGGCTTTGCCATCCCGGTCGATGAAGTACTGGCCACCTTCTTGGTGGTTGAGATTGGCGGGCATCGGAGTGCCATCCCTGAACATGGCCCCCAGCATGGAGTCTGGGAAGCGGGTCAGGGTCTCCAAAGTAGTGGAATATAGCGTGCCCCCCACATTCAGGGTCACGGGGCCCCCAAAAGAAGGGGGCGAAGAGGACACAGGAGGAGGGGAAATTTTGGGGAGTACAGGAGACAGGGAAGGAGAAGAAAGGCAGAACTTCCTGGGTGTGTGCAGAATTGGCTGGTTGTGACTCGCTAGGTTGGAGGCACAGGCTGGAGTACAAGCTAGCAAGGTTTGTAGCTCACCCTAGCTACGTTGGTGGTGGTTATGGAATTTCTGGAATTTCAGGGCACAGAGAAGTTGAAAGAACAGATGAAAATAACCAAAGACAGCCAGAGAGGGGAAGAGAGCATTTGGTGTAGACGTATCTGATTTGGGGTGGTCAGTAGTTCCTTTCTGTGGTCTTCCGACAATGGGTTTCCGGAATCCAACCAGCAGGTGACGGTGGCGAGCACAGGGCCAACTGTGAAGGGCCCAGCTTCCGAGTTTCTGGGCAGATCGCTTGGGCAGAATGCGAGTCCACTCAGGGCTCCCGAGACCAGTCAGAGGCCCGGCCTGGCTTCAGCCCAGTAGATGGAGGCCGGAGCTGATGAGAGCGGATGGCGAGCCACACTTGTACCGACTGTGGGGCAACGATGCACCCTCGGTCTGAGCTGGGAGTGTCCGAGGGCTCTGAAGGAAGACGCCGAGTCTCTGGACTTTCGCACCGCAGCCTTCCTGCAGTATCGCAGCACTGAGGTCCTCTCCACCCCCAGGAAGTGGCCTAAGGGCAGCGGCCCCGGGCTCTTTAAGAGACAACCCCGCCCCTTAGCGCCCCGCCCCCCGCCCCCGTGGGGCTCGCGGGGCTCGGGTGGAGGTGGGAGCTGAAAGTCGCGGACTGGAGAGACTGGGCTGACGGGCTGGACGGGCGGACGCGAACGGGGGTGGGATGACTCATGCGTGTAGCCCCGGATGTGGCCGCGACAGCCCTGCGGTCCTCCAGGTGTGCTCGACCTCACGTCTGCAACCTGGCAGGGGCTGGAGTCTCCAATCCCACCACTGTGAGAAAACCGAGGTCCGGCCGTCCCCGTCCAGGGGGCCAGTTCCCTCCCAGTGGTTCCCGTGGGGAAGTCCCGAGGGGGCGGGTGCTGAGCCACCGCATTCCAGGGATGCCTTCCGGCTGGGGTGGCCCAAGCGAGCTCCCCTAAGGGAACGCCAGCCCCCACCCCAAGCTAGCTGGACGAGTCTGGCCACGTCTCTTGAGCCCGAGAACCCCGCCCCCCACGGCCGCCTGGGGCCCTGTCTGCCATTGCACTCCCCCAAGAGTCGCCTCCTGCGTGCGTGACTCGAGCCTGAAGACTCCCAACTCCTCCCAGCATCCCAGGAGCGGCAGCGCCCTACACACTCTGCCGGTCCCAGAGGTGGCGCCCAATAAATGATCTACGAAGAGATGAGCAAAGCACAGAGGCTTTAATGGCAGTGGAGAGGGGAAGGGATGGGGAAAGGCAGGGCCCCCAAGGTCTGGGATCAAAGCGTATGGAGGTCATAACTACGCCGGCTCAGCTTCTCCGGATCGTCTGACGCCATTAGGGAGAAGTCGCGGAAGATGTCAAAATACGTCTCATCTCCTGAGGGGGAGGGAGGAAATGCTGCGAGGCCTGACAGCTGGGTCCTAGCACTGAAGTGCACCGTAGGGCAGCTGAGGCCGGCCAGATAGGGGCTAGAACTTGGAGCGTGGGTAGAGAGAACTAGTGCTGCCTGAGCATAGCAGCGGCGCCTATTCTTTGCTTTTTTATTCAGAGCTGCTAGCACACAACGGATGCGCCCAATACATGTTCGCTGAATTAAAGCAGTTGGGCTTGAGGGAGACAGGTCACCAAAGCCAGAAGCCCAGAATTCCGATATTGGGTTTCCAGGGATGGGATAGGTGAATTTACCTGTCTGGCCCTGGGCCGCTTCGGCCTCCCTCATCTTTGCCAATCGTAGCCTGAAAGAGAAGGAATTAAGGATCGATAACGTTCTCCTCACCCTTCCTCAGCTCCATCCTTCAAGCTGGGTTGTGTTTCATTCATTTTTCCCAGTGTCCAGTGCTTAAAAGATGCCGGTCAGCAATGGTGGTTGCCTGAATGATGGCTCTCAGGATGAACTCCCATCCTCTTACCCTGTCTGCCCACCTTCCTACTACACACCCCAATCCACACATCCTTTGTCTGGCCCAATCTCTCCACAACCCATCAGGCAAACTCCCTTGTTGGCATTAGCCCCACCCTTCAGGCATTCTCACAGGGTGACGATGTCAGCATTGGCTGTTTCCATGGCAATGGTCAGAGGGTCCCTTCCTTCAGAATCCCGAGCCCCCAGATCAGCTCCTCGTTTCAAGAATAAGCAAGCGAGCCTGGAGGGGACAGTAGGTTCAGCTCCGCCATCTCACCCCTAGGGCCTTCATCCTGTCCAGAGCCTTCCTCCCCATGGCCATCATCTCCTGCTGTCCTACCCGGTGTGGCCAAGAATGGTTGCATGGTGAAGTGGGCCTCTGCCGGCACTGTCTGCTTGGTTCACATTTGCCCCATTCTGGAGGAGAAACTCACAGGCCAGAAGAGAATTCTGCATCCAGAAGTCAAAAAGGAGGATTGAGAGTGGCATCTTTAGAGGTGATTTCAAGATGTTTTAGGTGGGGTATGGTAAATAAGGGTCGGGAGGGTACAGCCAAGTGTCAGGCTTGTTTCTAGCTCTTTACACGTTTTCAT